CCTCCTAGATAGCAATATATAAATTCCAAGTTCTTCGCTTCCCTGGAAGATTGAGTATAGGTTGAGTTTTTTTGCCCTTTTTACTTTTTGCTAACAAAACGATTTCATTGAAAAAATGAAGTATGCAACTTTCAAAGTGCACTTCTACTTTTTGGTATATAATGTGCTGCCGAGAATTTTGTTTATTTCTAAACCTTAGTATAAAAAAACGGCATGAACTTATTCGACAACCCAATAACAATGTGATGGAGCACAACGCTTTTTCAATAACTCGCTTTCCTATAACATAAGATTGTGGTTATAGGTTCAGAAGAGTAGACATTTCAAGGTTACATAGAGTTATGTCAAAAAACACAATTCATTTCAGTCACGTGTGCTTTAACAAATCAAAGACAAACTACCTAACTCAGCCAGTAGGATGGCCCGAGAGCGCGTATTTGGATACAACTACACTTTCCCCATTTTCTACAAACACCATAATATCAAACCCACGTCATTATCTTCACGCTACAATTCATTCTAAGGGACTCTGAAAAGTATTTCACAACGTTCAATTATTCGTCACATCGATTGAGTTATTGATTTATTAGACGAAGAGAAAATAGTAGAATGATTCATCACAGTAAGCATACCCGCTAGTGAAAAGATGTGATACAATCCAGCAAATCAAATAAAAAGGAAAAGCATCATAACTGAAAGAATGCTTGCAGTTCTATTTGTTCTATTTATGTATTTAAAAACATCTATATTAATTCAACTAAACAATTATTGCAGAAAGTCCTGGCTTATCTGACTATGCTCGTTGCGCTATGTGAATATTGAATTTAACAGCTGGAAGAGTTTCTACCGTTGCCGTTACTTCCGCATTCACATTCAGATTTGCTAAAGCGCCTCTCACTGTTCCACAAGGGAACGCGACAAGTGCACCAGCATCACGTACAAATTGTTGCCCTTCGGCTAGAGGACGCAACGTGCAGAATTTGTTGTCTTGTACAACGTAAACTCCCTTAAAAAGTTATTTGACTTCGAGGAATTGAAAAACCAAAAAGATAAGATCTTGAGGGACCTGATGATTTGTTCTCAGATTGTCCACTTGTTTTCCAAACACTGCAGACCAGAACTCTTTGCAGATGAACTTGACAACCTAAAGGAAGTAAATACGATCATATGAATTGAGTGCTGATGAAAGACCAGTCCTTCACGACCGTCGCAATTCCCGCTCATCGACAAACGGACAGATTGCTTGTTAGACTGTTCTCACAAAAGTGCTGTGC